AACCATCGTTCCTCTCTGTCCAGGATGTGAACATCTTCATCCCTGAAAGAGTGACCGCTGGCCTGGAGATGAGTGTAGACCGCAGAGTCCTGGCCTGATGATGTTGATCTTCTGTGTTGGTCCATCCTTTTGGCCAGTGGCTGTTTAGTTTCCCCGATGTAAGACTGATCACCCTCCTGACACTGAACAACATACACAACATTACTCTGTTTGTGCCGGGGGACTGGATCTTTGGGATGAACCAGTCTTTGCCGTAATGTATTTTGGGGTTTAAAAGCCACTGGGACGTTATGTTTAGAAAATAAATGTCTCAGTTTCTCTGATACTCCCTCAACATACGGAATGACCACTGGTCTGGGTCTGGGTTCCTCCTTTTCACCTGATGGCTGACTGGAGTCCTGTTTGGGTTTCTTCTCTGCTTTCAGGAAGGCCCAGTTAGGATATCCACATTGCTCTAGAGTCTGTCTTGTGTGGGATTTCTCCTTCTGCCTGGCTCCTGAGCTAGTGGGGACGCTGTCTGCTCTGTGGTACAGAGTCCTGATGACTCCTAACTTGTGCTCCAAAGGGTGATGGGAGTCAAACTGCAAATACTGGTCTGTGTGGGTGGGTTTGCGGTACACCTCAGTTTGCAAATGTCCTCTATCAGAGACTGAGACCTCACAGTCCAAGAAAGCCAACCTGCCATTTTTTACATCTTCTCGTGTGAACTTGATGTATTTATCCACAGAGTTGATGTGGTCAGTAAAATGTTGGACTTCCTGAGATTTAATTTTAAACCAGGTGTCGTCAACATACCTGAACCAATGACTTGGTGGTGTCCCTGAAAAGGACGTCAAGGCTCTCTTTTCTACCTCCTCCATGTACAGGTTGGCAACAATAGGAGAAACTGGAGACCCCATAGCACACCCATGTTTCTGCCTATAATATTGCTCCCCATATGTGAAGTAGGTTGACTGCAGGCACAGTTTCAAGAGTTGACACAGTTGTTCTGTGGAAAGTGTGGTCCTGCTGCTCAGAGTGGTGTCTGATTTTAATCTTAAACTGACCACCTCTATTGCATCATCAACAGGAATGCACGTAAAGAGTGATGTGACATCAAAAGAGACCATTGTTTCATCAGTCTCCATAGCGACCAATCATCATGGAGACTGATGAAACAATTGTTAATCAATAGTTAAATCAATTAAAATTGATTTATCTTTAAACAGAAAACCAGGACAGAGATCTAAAAACATGTGATGTGTTTTTGTGAGAATAAAAGCAGCTGAACTTTGAATCAGCTGTAGTTTGACTACTTTTTAAAAACGCAAGAATTTATTTTCAACGTTAAGATTTTAGCAGAAACTTTAAAACGTTTGTCGAACAATAAAAAATGCCAATTTTATGATAAGCTTGATGTGACTTTAATTTGGATCTTTGTCTAATTTTACACTGAGGTTTAGAAAAAAACACGTACACATAAAACAAAACCTTCGTTCTACTAAAAACCTGACAGCTGCTAAAGCCTTTCTAAATTGATCGTGTTAATTTAGAAATCAAGCTGAATAAAAAACAAACTAACTCCCAGGTTTGGAGCTTTATTTTGAAAATTATACTCTGAGTAACAAATTAAAAGTATGTAACGAGCATTTTAAGACGTTAAATCCAAAGTGTGTGGAAGTTTAAAGATAATAAGACGCCTACCTGTTTAACCAGAGCCCTCTTCTTCTCTTCACCCATCTCGTCTCGTCCTGCCAGGTCCCTCTCGTACTGGGCCTTCATGGCCTGCATGTTGACCTCCAGACGCAGCTTGGCGTCCTCTGTGGCCTGCAGCTCGTCCTCCAGCTCCTCCAGCTGAGTCTTCATCTCCTCCAGCTGCTGCTCCATCGAGCGTTTAGCCTTCTCCAGTTCGTGCACCTGCAGAGGGGAAGGAGGTCTCTGGTGAGAACCATCGAGAAGCGTAGGAACAAACGAAACACGCGAGATTGTTTCAAACTTACGTTCTTTCCAACGTCGTCCTTTGATGATACCAGGTCCTCCATTTCAGCCCGCAGCAGTTTGCTGCTGCGATCCAGTTCCTCCTTGACCTCCATCAACGAGTCCAGCTCACGGGTTAAAGCCAGTGCTCGAGTCTCCTTCTCGCGAGCTTCAGCTTCAGCTCGGTCACGCTCCTCGGCGTAACGAGCGGAGATGTTCTTCTCCTCTGCCAGCATCTACAACCAAGACAACGTTAAAACTCTGTAAAACTGAGGTCTGAATCGTTTGCGGCGTCGCTCTTCTCTGAAAGCGTGCACCTACCTGGTCGAACTTCTTCTGCTTCTTCTCCAGGTTGGAGACGATCTGCCGGAGGTGGTCTTGGTCCACCAGCAGGTCGTCCAGCTCTTGCTGGAGACGGTTCTTGGTTTTGTCCAGCTTGTCAAAAGCAGCACATTTCTCCTCCAGGCGCTGGGTTGTTGCCTCAAAGTCCCTCAGAAGTCTCTTCTTTCCTTCCTCAGCGGTCTCAAGACAGCCAGCGTCCTGCTCCAGCTTCTTCTTCATCTCAGCAAGCTGCATGAAGACAACATGCACTGAATTCAGGCTCATTTGTTCAAGTGATATATCACGGGGAGTTAAGTCACTAATTTATTCCAGCGTTTGTTTTTCTGCTGGCTTCAATGAAAACTCCCGGAGGACTTGATTTCGGGTGCGTCGATGTGTTTTACCTGAGCTTGAGCTACTTGAAGCTGCTTCTCCACGCTCCTCTTGGCCGCCTCTTCTTCCTCCAGTTGTTCCTTCAGGTTGTTCTGTTCTTCTTCGAGCTGACGCATACGAGTGCCCTGAGACAGTTTCTGACGAGTCTCTTCTTGGAGCAGTTCCTGTTTGAGAGACGGACACAGAGTTTTAGAAAACCAAACAGGACTAGGACCGTTACAGTCGGTGTGGAGCCTCATGATGCTCAATGTTCAACAATTTCACGTCAAGGCTGCACAAACCACTGATGTTTGATAGTGATCATTTGTCAACGTCATTATTCTGAGTGTTGATGGGGAAAGAGAGGTCTGGGGTTTTCTCATGGACCTGCTGACTCTGACCAGACTACAGGTAAGTAGTAAAGATGGAGGAGGAGACGACTTTTATGAATTTATCCTTTAAATTCTTGAAGGTTTCAACTGAGATATTGAGTTTTTCTCCACTCCACTGGTACGTGTTACAAATATCAACATCCTGTCAACTCCGAGCTAGTTTCAAACCGTCATGGTGGAAAAGCAGAGTCCGCGGCTGCCACAAGGCGCTTTCACGAAACGCATCAAGCTAGGACTCCCCTCCACATTTTAGATATAAACACTGTGCTTCTCAATTTTGAGGGGGGAAATTATTATGAATCAACATTATTTAGGTCTAAGATGGCTACTCGTTCTTCTACTTTTTCCACAATTATGGGATGGACACAAATAGCTCTGTAGAATTTTAAACAAGGTGTATATTTTAAGTTTTATTTCCCCTTTTGTCTTAATGTTTAAAAATAAAGTGAAACAAAATTTTACACTGCAACAGTAACTGTGTTTGTGTATAAATAAATAAAAACTGATCAGTTGTTTCACCTTATTTTAAAGGGTCACGTACATTTAGTGGCTCTATGCAAACTTTATTTAGGGAGACATTATGGATTTATTTTTCTAGAAAAGGTAAAGTTTCCGACTGAAACATTTAATTGACGTGTACAAACCTAATGGATTCTTGCACATTGTTCTAAAAGAACATTCTCTCAGTATAGTACATCAACTGGTGGCCCGGGGGCCAAATCAGGCCCACAAGTGAGCTCAGTTCGGTCCACCAATGGGTTTGTTTCAAATAAAACTGGATTTTAAACATTAAAACAAACTTACTATCTGACAATAACTGCAGGATGTGTGGCCCCTGAGCTCTATAAATTATTTCAGTACCTGTGGCCCCTGATCAGTTGAGTTGAATAGTCCTGACCTATACATTTAACTCTCTACTTAACGTAGAGTAAAGTATGGCCGTCTTACCTGAACATCCTGAAGTTGGGATTCAACAGCAGAGCAGTCTTTTGATGCCTTGATGGATTTGCCCTCCACCTCCGTCAACATGCTGTTTACATTATCCAGCTCAGCCTGTGGACAAACAACAACAAATAAACATCTGCACAGTTTCATACGGCCATCTTCAGTGTTTGCATCAAATCAAGAGTGACCAGATAAAATACAAGATGTTCATTCTTCTTTTAGTGGAGGTCACTACAGTTAGGAATGTGAAACAATATAGCTCGTAAAAGTTGTACCTGCACTTTAGCTAGTTTCTCAGCCTGCTCCACCCTCTGGCGCTCGCTCTCTGAGAATTTGAGCTGCAGCTCCTGGACCTGAGCTTCAGCCTTCTTCCTGCGATGCTCCGAGTCTCCTTTACCCTGCATCAGCGTCTGCAGCTCGATGGTCAGCTCGTTCTTCTCCGACTCCAGAGCCTGCTTGGCCTTCTCCATGGACACTTTGTTCTGCAGGGAACAGGAGACGGGTCAGTTCGTGTTTCTGTGAACGTGTGATTATAAACAAATGTTTGTAGATGATGACATGTTCACCCTCTTCGCCTGCTCCAGCTGCTCGTTGAGCTCATCAAAGGCCTGACTGTGTTTCTGTCTCATCTCAACCAACTGCTGCTCATGGACTTTGGCTTCTTCGTCAAGAGTCTTCTTAAGATGTGCCACCTCCGTCTCACGCTTGGCTCTGTAAAGGAGAAGCAGAGGTGAGGGTCTGTCTGAAGATGTACAATCAATTCAAACAGTCTGAACAAAAGCCTGTTTCTGGTAAGTATTCCGACCTGAGTTCGTGTTGGACAGCAGTGGAGTCCAGGGTGTCCTCCAGCTCGGACTTGAGGGCCTCCAGCTCCTCTCCCAGGTCCTTGCGGTGCTTCTCGGCCTTGGTGCGAGCCTGCCTCTCCAGCTCCAAGTCCTCCTGCAGTTCAGACAGCTGAGCCTCCAGCTCTCGAATCTTCTTCTGAGCCAAGTTCTTCTGCGCAGCCTCCTCCTCAATCCTTAAAGAACAAACAAATTAAACAGAGTGAAGAACCGGCTCAATATAAATTTAAATATTTTAAAATGTTTTTTTTTTCTTCTCCAGGCTTAGGCAGACCTGATTAGAGCAGCCTGGAGCTCTTCTTCCTTCTTAGCTAGCTGAGCACGGAGCTCGGCGATCTGAGCCTGCAGCTCCGCGATCTGATCGTGAACCTCGGTGACGTCGCCCTCCAGCTTGCGCCGGTTCTTCTCCACCTCCTGACGCTGCTTCTCCTCCCGGCGCAGGCGGTCTGGAAGAAAATGTATACATTTTAATTTTATCAGTTAAATTTGCAGCAATTTAACAAGTTATATATAGTAATGCAGTTATGCGTGTTTCTGCAAAGACAGAAGAGAATCTTTCCCCTCAATTACAAAAACCTTCATTTATTTATTTACAAAACACCTAATGAAGCTGAACCACCATAGATTTTTTTTTTTTCTTAAATACACATTGTTTTATTTTTGAGAAGGCATTACAGGGAAAAGATTTTTGCCCGATAGATTTTAAATTTTTCTTTCATTTAAACAAATTTCTGACTCATTTTTAGGATTTCCTGCACAGGTCTGAGTGGGTTATGGTAAATTTGTTATGCATCAGTGTTTCCACTACCATTATAAAAGGAGGGTGCCCCGCCCTGTCAACAGAACCTAACTGTTCTCCCTCCCCCTCCACAACTGCCGGCCCTGACGTAGCGCTAAGCTAGCGGTCTAGCCACATGCAATACAGACGAGCTAGCTAAAAAGCTACAGAGGTAGAGCTCCGCTTTCCCAACGCTGAGCAGTCTATCCTGCCCCACTACCTCATAGATAAAACTCATGGAAGAGACGAACGCCCTGCCAAGGCCAGTAACCTAATGGAAACACTGTATATAGTCCATGTGTAAAAAAATCACTGCAGCAACTTGTAGAGTTAATTTTAAAAATGGCTGCATGGTG